ACATCATAATGCCTCCAACTAGGTAATATTATAATATATTTAACGACGACGACAATTCTCGTTTATATTGCAAAAATGACGGTTGTTACGTTATGAAGATCTTACTGAGTTATTCAAACACTTATTGCTCAGTTCTTGTTTTCTATCATTGATAATAGGATTGTTTCACTGACCTACTTCACACTCGCGATATCTCGTATGCCGTTTTACTTAACCCTTTGGAGCACGATATTTTTTTCAAATTAACCGACAGCGTTGACGTTTGGGATTTTTGTTTTAATACATTTTTATCACTCTGGGAAATAATTTCCAACCGCGGTAAACAGATATTTCCGGTTCGTTTTTGATTTTGTTTACGGTGGTTTTTTTTTTCCGGTACAGGTTTTATTTTGTTTCGATTTCAATTTAGACTTTGGTTTTATAGCCGCTAAAGATCTGCCGGGGCCGGGATTTTTTGTATAAAAACATGCTGACTATTTCTTAGATTTTTATTTTTAACCTCACACCACCAGTCCTACGAGGATACATGACCGACGTGGTACAGTTATTCGAAAATGATAAGAAAAAATTCGGGCTTTGAAAAAAACAATGTTAAACCGGGCCGGGCCAGATTATTTTACAACTTGGCCGGATCGGCTGTCCTCGAGTTGGGTCTCAACTACATGAATGAGTCGTGATCCCGGCATATTTATTAGGCATATTTTATTTTATTATTATTTATTACTTTGAAGCCATTTGTTCAGCCGATTGTAGTTACTCCGGAGACACCACATGAAAGTTGGCTAGAAAATCTCCCAAAATATTTAGTTTCTTGTTGCTTTGCTCTTATAAAGTTATTAATATTAAATATTACTTTTTTGTCAGTTTTTATTTTTTTGAAATCCATGAAATGAAAAAGACACATGAAATAATGGAATTATTATTTCGAGAGTATATTGTTTTGTTTATAAATGCATTCACCATACAAAAAAATGTCTGCCCAATTCACTTCTATTGCTATGTTTGTTTGGTTTAAGAGAAAAACTGATAAAAATAAACACAAAGTCACGAAATTAACCGTCGATAATAAACGAGATAATCTCGCTACAGTACCGTTATAGTAATTGTATACCGTCGTCGACGTTACATTTATGTGCGGGGTAATTTGTCAGCACCACGGCGTTTATCTATGTTCAATCATTGGCGTTAAAATATTACTATATAGTCTCGTTGTTCGTAATTTTCTTGTATTACGAATTCATCGAATGAGGTTTGCATGTTTGCAAACAATGCAAACCATCCAAACAAACAAATAGGAAACTGAGAACATTTGATAATACCGTACTGAAAAAAATGTGTTGACCCATACATGGCCAATCAACAGGAAACTGGCGAAGGAGGATCAACAGCTTTACAATATGGTAGAAATTACCAGTGACAAGCTCCGTTAAGGCACAAAGGTTACAATGGTTAAGTCACATAACAAGAAGAGAAAAAACTAAAAAGTTATGAGAGGCAATGTAATGGTAACCCATCCTATCGAAGAAAACTTCAAGAAAGACTCACATGAATCGACGTGGTAGAAAAAAATTCAAAAAGTTTGAAGTTGGAAAACTAGTGGCATATTGTAATGGTGGTAAAAACTTCTAGAGAATGAGTTGGTATGCCAATAAAAGAAGAAAAAACATATTTGCGAACTGAATTAATATAAATAGTAGGTACCACAAATAAACAAGCAAACAAGTATGACACCCGACTTTCTGAATTCAATTTCAAACAAGACTCATCTCAATGAGATATGGGAGTTTTTCGAAATTGTTTGATTCACTCTCAAAATTTTGCACACTTATTAAAAATTCAATTTTATTTTTATTATTCTCAACAAGGCAGGTAATTTTAATACTGTTTTTATACTAAAACCACCAATGAATTTCGAAATGATCTCGTTCGTAAAACTTTATCGATAGTTTTCTGAATCAAATTTCCCTTTAACATTACATAATATAACAATGTATTTATCAAGAAAAAATACAATGCTAAAATAAGTCAAAAATGGTTCAACAAAAAATCAATTTTTTTTGTCCTGAATAATTTTAATTTTCAGAAAATAGCCCTTTTAGAGATTTGCAATTCAAATATGTGCATCCATGTGCGTGTATGTGCAGCCCCTAGATAATTAATAATCGCCTAACCGGGTCAACTAGTTTAATCGTTATATAGTATACTATTTAGTTTCGTAGTTTTTGTTTTTGTAATATTAAATCCGAATATCTGGTTGAATGTATAAACATAAACTTCTCAGAAAAGTCTTCAGCGGAGACTGGAGATCCAAGAACTGAACTTTCACTGGCGGCGAACGATCAACGACGAATCGAGAGGCGAACGTTCACTAATTTTCGGTTTATCTACCTAGTATAGCTAGTAAGCTACCTGTACTATCTTTAGCTACCTTTAAGAATATTATAATTTTATTTTAGAGCAATATATATATAATGTTAAATGATCGCAAATTAGTGATTTCTGAAAGTAGGTTTAGTTATTGCCTATAGGTGGCCTACTTTCCGTAAAAAGGTCCCGCATTCATCGACCCTAATGATGGGCTTACAGTGGGTTTACTCCGTGTCAGTATCCAAACAACACTATTGTCGAGAATCAAACCAAGAAAAAAAAAACTACCAGACCACAGACCATAACATTATATATTGTTTAGAATAATAAAAATTTGCGGTCCTACTATATTAGTAGTATATTAGTAAAAGTTATAAAGTATACAAAACCGCTATTGCTTAAACATTTCGTTTTTCGGGCGTTTTTTCTCCGGTATTCTAGAATACCATCCATATCACTACCTCCGAGAGAATAAAAATCGCCCGAAAGAGGCGTTTTTACCGTGGAAGGTTGTAAGAATAATACCGAACATTAATTTGTATTAATTTTTCATTGAAAATGATTGCATTTATTTTCTAGACTCATTTTAGATTCTGAGCATACAATTTAATTTGATGATTTAATACGATGAGTTTTTTTTTTTTGTTAGCAGCACATTTTATTACTATTATTTTCAAAAATAATAGAAACATTACCGACTGACGATATACGTACATAATAATTATATTTCTGATAATATTATATAGATATTAAAAGTGCCAACGATAAATATTAAATACCGTTTTGTAAAGAAACCACTGTAAAAACATTAACCAATTAACATATTTTAACTACTGTGGGTATCTACCGAAATTATTCTCTAAATATTGGTGGTATGTCTACAACTATTGTATCGATCGAATATCGTACAGGAGTATCAATTTTATTTTCCCAGAATAGTTATCATTATGTGACAAGTAAGATTGTAGGTAATGTCTATACAGGCAATCCAATTATTTAATTTTATAAACGTAAATAATTACCATCGGTGGTACTTCAGGTTTTTCAGGGTGTAACGTTCCTATATAGCATAATCCGAGCCCATGAGTACAATCGAATTCTTTTGTTGATTAGTTGCTTCAGATTTTTAATGATTCGCCGATTGTGCCTTATAAAGTACCCTCAACTTGTGCAATGCTTGAAAAACGGGTTCTGTCGCATCAGCGAGAATAGGAATTACACTGTAATGCTTTCCGTTCTGACATTAGATGCACTGAGTAAAACTTAATGATAATTTTTAAAGTAATTTTCACTTACTACGTTATTCATTATTATTTCGTTCTATGACAGATATAGTTAATATAAATTTCTCCATTTTTATTATACGGGCCTTTTCAATGTTTATTAAATCTGCTCGGAAAATTAAAAAAATACCCCTTTGAGATCCAAAATGAAACAGAAAATATCTTTTGTCATTTTTTGATTAGAACAAGATTTCTAACAGAAAAGTTTCTTATGGACAAAAAAAAAAATAATAAAAATGAAAAAATAAACACGCAGCATAGTGAAACCAATACATTCCTTGCTACGTCCAGTATCTAAAAATGAATCATTCTACCGGTACCCATACTATATTAGTTCTTATTAGTTCTCATATTTTATGTACATTTGTTCGGGATTTCTATTTTTCGTTTTCCAAATGAAATATAGATCCAACGATAATATAATAAACGCAAATAAAATAATATATAGGTTTTATGCAAGTATATTATTTATTATTACCCTTTTGTAGGTCCAGATTTATGAATAACATTATATGCTCGTATAATATATAACACACTCTGCAAGGACGACGTCGTTATGTATATATAACCGATTAATAGTGAAAACGGAAAAAAAAAAATCTAAAAGAATAATATAATATAATAGGGTACGATCCGAAGGTGACGGATCGTCTACCACTAGACGGTATATAGTAGGGCTTTTATTCTGATTGTCGCGGAAATAAAAGGGTCGCGAATTGTGTGCGTTCTGACGCGTCGACGGACGTGACATAAAAATAAATAGTAGGTTTACTCGTAGATAATTATTAGATAAACGGTAAATAATATTTGTTGCGGTGAAAACGCAGTATATTATATCAAAAGATAATAATAAATGGTTTATACCTATTATTAGGGAATTTAGATAGAACCGGAAAACTCGACCGTGAGTTTGGTCAAAAGAATAAGAGGGTTCGCGAGTGAGCGTAATAATATTAGGCATATTAAGTACAAACTATGATATTTATGTAAAAATGTGTAATATCCGCTCTAATCGTATAGACAGTTGAAAACTAAAATGTAAGATGTGAAATTTACACCGTTTGTGTAACAATACGAATACACGCTGTGGTTTGGGTGATCGATTAATTTTTTAGATATATAAAAAAAAAAAAAAAAACAACAAACTCAGATTCAACGGTTAGGTTCAACTACGCACACAAATATAACTCCAATGGATTGGATTGCACAAAACAATACAGAGTAGAACAAAATAGAATTCAAGTATAACAGTGGCGTGGTTTACAGTAAAATACACTGAACGGATGAGCAAAGCAAAACAGAACACCGGGCGCTGCCACGAGCTCTAGGCCGAGTGCTACAGACGAACTGTAGCCACTGTAGCCCGTGCGACGGCGTCCTGGAGACCACTATCTTTCTTCTAGGCCGATATCGTCTGCTCCTTCTGGACTGCACCGCGCCACACTGCACTGAGTTGCGCCGACCGCACTAGGTCGTACTAGACTCGTACGTACCAGTCGTATGATTACCGCACACAGCCGTAGGCCGAAGTCAGTCACGATGCCTCGAGTATACTACGATATTACATCGTAGTCAGATTAACGACGTACGTTGAAATCTGGCCTATAGGCTGCTTAAGTTCCGTACGATGTTCCTAACCGGTTGCGAGAATTACGTCGGGGTCGTGTGTTTTGCCGTGTGATGCGCGGCGCACAGAAACGGTTTTGCCGGTAGCGCGCTCTATGAGAAGGAAGTCGCTAACCGTGCGCGTGGATCCGCCGTTGTCACTACCGGTTCGTCCGACGCGAGCGTACAGGACGCGATTGCGATACTATCTTTGTGATCAATTCCTTAGGAACGGTTCGACCGATTGACTTGAAATTTCAGACGGGTATTCGAGGCAATTTTCATATTCATTAATTCTTAAGTTTTTCAATACCTGATTATTTGTCAACATTCCAGAAATATCCTATCCGACTTTAAAATTGTCTCTGGTGTCATATTCACATATTCAATCAGAAACGGTTATAAAATATTTCTTTTTTTTAGACTAAATTTCATAAATAAACTTAAAGTAAACTAAAAGTTAGAAAATTCGTGAGGTGACTAAACGACCGGAGTTGGTCTCGTTCAATGCAAATTACTTGCAGCTTACGTTCTCCCGTTTAATTTTGTTTTACAAATTCTATACATTTATTTCGGCTTTAATTTGCTGTTTTAATATTTTCTCAAGCATTCAACAATTCATCGAATGGTGTATGAAAATGGTGCATTATGAACACAAGCAACGTACGGATTTTCCTTTACGTTAACGATATATGCTCACCGTTGTTTTAGTGAGTTTTTATCACTGATATAAGCGTTTCCGAGGCCAATGTTTCCATAATGATTGATACTTTCACAACACTTGTAAACGAAAAACGTATTATACAAAACTTCAAGGTTAACCTAACCTGCGATATGAAAAATTACAAAAACTAATTGGTCCGCCTAAAAATAAAAATAGCGAGCTTTTTGAAAATATATCACCTTGACTTAAAGGTTTACATACTCGGTATGCCATCATATAACCATCATATATATATATAACCATCATTAACCAGCTACCGTGTCTACTATATAAATTTTATATGCCTATGAAGTGTTCACGCGTTCGAAATGTAATATTAATCCACAATCGTACACCACGAAAACGCCGAAAATACCTTTTACGGTCCCTTTTTAATGCGTATATACTCGTTAAATTATTTTCTTAATAACAGTGTAGGTATAATTTACATCGTGATACCGGCTACAGCGTTAGGTCGTGTACGTATACGTATATTGTGAAATAATTTAAAACCAACGCGTATAAATTGAAGTGTTTCAGAAATACTACCGAGCGAGTTATTATGAATGTATCTATATATATATATATATTATTTCCCGTGTGCGTTTATAATATTATTTAAATATTCAGAGCAGACGATTTACACGTATACCTACAGCGGTATTATACACATCTTGATTTCCGAGTCGGTAATAGGTATATTCATATCATATCGTTTCGCTGTTACTGCGAAGCCTTTAAATATTATTTACAGTTCATGTGCACATGTAATAAGCGTATTTGTTTCAAATGAACAATTTTCAATCGATAATAAAAACGATTTTTAAATAAAATGCTTATAAAACGAACTAAAAAGTATATAAAAATAAAATGTGTAGTTAAAAATATTTTCTTACGTATATAATACTATCACAATAACATCAAATTGAATAAGAATATAAGATTATACAGTAAATTATAACTTACATACATTTAGGGTGATTCACAATCATAGGGCGCTTTTCACTTATTGGTGGAGTCCTTCTGATACATTAACTTGTAATGAATGCTCAGTGCACGATTATATTATTTGCTTTCATATTATTATTATTTTTTTATTACACTTCGTCTAAAGTGCCCAATGTTTATTAAATGTTTGTAATATATTAGGTATTTTGTTTCATTTACTATAATCTTATTCAATTTCGATGTTAACATGATATATATCGAAGAAAATTGTTTTATTAAAATGTTCAATTATTATACACATAACACCTAACCTAACCTAGTATTTTAACCTCGGCTAAGTCCGCGGGTTACAGAGTTCTTTTGGTTCTTACTTTACCAACGGTTAAAACCAACCACTTCGTTCCGAATCGTCGAGCAGGAGTAGTACACTAGAATCGAAGGGAGATTTATTAGGATCAGATTAGGTATTCAATGGTTAGTGAAAACTGTACCCGCGGTTATATGTTATATGTATTATATATGTTTATTTCACTAATCCTAACACTATGAACTTAAACAAAACGGTGTAGTCGAGACTACTGTGTGTTCGTCCACACGGCCGCTTTTGATGTATTTCAATTTGTTTCCAATAATCATGTAGGGTGGGGACCTTTAATGAAAGGGGGGGGGGTGAAAATAGAGAACCTGATTATTTGTTATTTTACTGTTATCAAAAATATGAGTGTATGTAAAATTTCAAGTTTACGGGACCACGGGAAATGAATCAAAAATCGATCACAAGTTTTAAACTCCTTGATATTTATTTCTTAGTGAGTTAATATAAAGCGTGGTAAAAACAATATGATTCGGAACGATACGTTTTTCGATATTTTCAGTCACCGCGGTGGCGACGCAGAACTCTATAAACAATTGTGTAAACTCATTTTGAGTGTTCAAATCATGTAATTATAGTCTCTTAATATAAAGTATATAGCTGATGTTGTTTAAAAACAAACAAATTACTTATTCGCTATAAATACATAAAACTTACACATTCCAAATATTATATCGGATTTATATGTGCTCTGTTATCACTCTAAAATCGTCAAGTTTTTTTACGGTTAAATGCTTAAAATTTTGCATTCTCTTAAAAATTACTTTTCGCGTGACCCGACGGCGCTGGACGGATTTCGGATTACGACGGGTATCTGTTTTATTCAGGCCAATCCTATAATGTATCGTATATATACCTACCCTCTCGTTCATCCTACTACATTTCAAGCCCTATCCTCCCCTTTCCACCCCATGCTTTGATCCTTTAGGGTTTATACATATGCGAGCTTTCACCCGTCATATTTAATGTGATCCACGTGATTACACACTTCTGCTGCGTTACAACGCCACATAAATTTCGAAACTTTGTCCGACAGAGAAGTCGGTACACATCACGTGGCAGATTTACCCTTCTTAGACCGTTAACTGGACGGAACTATCGAAGGTCCCTGCTATATATCCAAAATCAACTTTGGAGCTCCACACACCGGCTTACCTACTTATTTCGACTAATTCGCCGTTTGCTGCGGCATTGCGCGGTCCGACGAACTAACGAAAGTTGAACGTTATTATTTTGGATAAATTAAATGCGTCTAATCTACCGTATATTATGTATGATAATATAATACTCACATTAAAACGAAAACATCTTTGCAGTCCTACGATCAGCAATTAGTAAATTAGTAAATTTTATTTAATCATTCCGAAAAATTTCAAATATATCCAACTAATCAGATTAGGTTTCTACTCTACTCTGATTGATTTCTAACCGATTTTTTTTTTTTTACATTTCTGTCAACTTTGTAGTACCAAATTTAAGTACCTATGTGATTTAATTTATTTTTCGGAAACTATCGTCGATTGAACAAAAAAAAGCATAATGTGTTTAATCACCTAAAATTATTTTTTATTAATTTATTATTATTAGTTATTGAAATATATTTATAATATATTTCAATAGCTTATCGTTTTGAGAAATTAACCATTGTTACGCTATTGTGGCGTACACTAAAGTGTAAAAGTTTTCGGGTATCGACCGAGTTCAATAAGTGAAAGTTTCAATTATTGATAGTTTGACGTCCTTAATAAACCGATGGTGGAGGTATGCGAAGTGACGTAATTAAGAGGGATCTGAATTCTAAGGGTGCGGTCGTGGCCAGTACTAGAAGTTAAGGGTAAAAATAGCATTTGTTTTTTTTGTTTTACTTTGATTAAAACAAATAGTTTTGTATTTGATTTAGAGAAATCATTGGTTATATAAAGTAATATAAATATAAATATAAACACACTATGTTATCAATGCAAAATATAACTATTATTGTTAATATTTAGGTTATTTGTAACGGCTAAATTCAAAATTTCTCTAATTTTATAAAATGTTCAACATTTTAATGACTTCCAATAATGTACTGTATTAGGAGCATAGGTACGGCCATTTTTACTACGAACAAACCTGACTTCACGGAAATAGAGACAACTCATTAGCAACGCAATATTTTCCTACAACATTTTTTATAATTGGATAAACAACGATATTTCACAGACGGCATTGAATCGACAATTGATTTCAAATAATGGTATAAAAAATTCAGAAAAAAAAATGGTTAAAATTGACCTTTTTTTTAAAGGTGCATTAAATAACCATAGATTTTATATTAAAAAATGGTGTTAAAATGCGGTCTGTATGCTGTCTTCCTCTTTTCAACTAAACATAAGTATCGAAATTGGAACACTCCACCCGATATGACAATTTTTCCAATAAAAATAAAGAAAGATGTGTTTCAGAGCAAAAACTCGCTATGGCATCGGGCTCCTTAAAGTTATAGATCGAATTCAAATCGACATGCCGGATAATCGACGTAGGTATGGCTATGTTTATGCAGAATTTATTGTAATAATTTTTAAATAGTGTTTTTGTTTTTCATACGATTATCGATGCGAAAAAAAAATCTATCAAGTGATATAATCATTTAGTTTCGGGAAACAATATAAATATACTGGGTGTGGACTAAGCCCCCCCCCACATATATTATAGCGATTTTAACGCGACATAATTAATGTTATACCTACTTAATCGTTTATATGGGGTAACATTTTTTTTGAAAATTAGCCGCTTCTTTTTGGGGTTTTGTAAAATGAATATACGTATAATATACGCGCGAAAATATTATAATAACCAAACGCGCTAATGACGTAATTACATAAATATATTGTCGTTTTATTGTTATTATTTTTTTAATTTTTTTAATTTTTTTGTCTTCTTTTGCCCCATCTCTC